CCTTATTTCTTCTCTCATTCAGATATCCATCTACTTGCAGCTGCCAAGTAAACTGATTTTTTCTTTTTCTGTGACCTTCTGTCCTCAGATCTCAGTCTACCACCCTGGGCTTCCCTGCCCTGTCCCCAGAATGGGAACGTTCTGCCAGCTACCTCTTGATCTCCTGCAGCTCTAACCTGTAAGTGATGGCTGTCAAACCAGGGACTTGGCTGCCAAACCAGGGACTTCTGAGGAGTTACTTTGAATCTCTGTAGCCCCAGCCCCAGCTTTGCCTCCAAACATTTGCTCGATATAGAGCATTACCTTTTTCAGGCCAGCTTCAGGATGAGAGTCTACACTGACTTTGCTGAGCAGCCCATTGATCCCACCCTCAATGGTGAAATCCTGCCCAAATCACCAAGTGCTCTCAGGATTTCTGACATATTTTTTCAGAGGAGGACAACACTGGCCTCCAGAAAGTGCCAAAAATGAAGATTGAATAATAAGAGAAGTCCTAAATCTGCTCTGATAAGGAATAAAAGGTGGTTTTCAGCAACAGGCGCTATCTAGTCTTTTATTCTGGAGACATCTGTAGCAAGGCAGTAACATCTCTCACTGAAAGCTGAAGGCACAATGTCTCATACTCCTGCATGATGGATGAGAGGATGATAACAGGGAAGGGAAGCAGACTTTGCTCAAAGCTATTAAGCCTCTCTGTGAAGCAGGCTGGGCTGTGTGGAGACTGAAGACATTAGCTGTCATTTTGTATGAAAATTGTATGTCCTCAGCAGCTTAATAATACTCCAGCAGGTTACAGTGATTTACACATAACAAAGTAAAAATTGGGGAACAGGGAGTGAGCGAGCAATGGGATGCCTCCAAAGAGACCATGGAGGAGCTTGGTGGTTCAGATACTCAGGACAGGAAGGGATGAGGGGAAAATGCATACCTTGGGGTACTGTATAGTCAAGGAGATTCCCTCTGTGCAAGGAGGATGTAAAGGGAAAAGGGTAATGGGGAAGGATGGTCCAAGCCTGGTCATTTTCCAGGCACTGAGGCACAACACAGGTGTGGTGTTGCCACGTTGTCCTGTTTTGGGTATTTCCCTGTGAGCTTGGGTTGGTGAGTTAAGAGGTGATCCACCATTGCCACTGGCGTGTATCCATGTCTCCCTGGGGTGTAAAGTGGAGGGCAGCACACCGGGGGCAGGTGACTGGGAAGAGGCGGGAAGTGGGAAAAAGGGGGGACTTCTCCTCCTCATGGTACCCACACGGACACATCAGTGTTGTGACATGAGTGATACCCCATCACCCTGGGGTGGCACAGCCACCTCAAAAGCTGTCTGAACTGGGAGGGATGCCACGGGTCACAGTCCTGATCCCCTCTGTATTGCAGGAGCAGGTGATATCCCAATGCCATTGTCTCTGGCACCACAAACCCCTGGGTGAAATCCAGTTATTTCAGCCTTACCAAAGCTGTGATACATATATTCACATCCCCTTGCACTAACTTGTGTGCTAATCTGTGAGGCTTCTCCTGACCTGATTATTCATGAGGCAATAATTCAGATACCCCATAGACACTGAGCTGCAGACTTTCTAAAAAGGCTTTTCATTTTCTCTCAGATTTTAAAAGGACTTCAGATAGACTAGAGCCTTGTCATTTGTTTTGTGATTTATGTAAGTAATTGTGGAGCATGATGGAATAATGTGAAGTGGGTAGGAATGTCATAAACCTACCAGCAGCTATATTGGAAGAGAAAAGCCCTGTTATTTCCAAAGAGCCAGAAGAAACATGGGATATTTCTCGATGTCACTGTATTCACTAATTAGACTAGAAAGAAGATTATGTTTAATTAATGTCATTCTTTTTAAGATTGCCCACAGAATCACTAGTTATGCTTAACTTTCTCCTCCTTGTTATTGCTTGATCTCTTGCTTTTGTTTCAGTGATTCCTGATGTTTCAGAGCACTTTACCTGTCAAGCCACAGGCAGCTGCTTATCCTCACAGATCTTCAGGATGGTCAGCACCTTTTTCTGCAAACTGGAATATCCTTGACTTGAAAGGCAAATACCATCCCCTGGTATCAAAGTAACAGATTAGTGGCCAGAATTTTCTGGTGCATAATTAACAAAAAAAATTACAGCTGTCACGAAAAAAATAACATAATGTTTACTTGCTGGTTGTCAACATTGCTCATTCATTTGCAACTTCCAAATTGAACTTGCTTCATCAAGGAGAAATAGCTTTTAAGGAAGCAGCAACCTTCCCCTTATCCCTCCAAAGCTACTTTGAAAACAAAGATTTTTCAGTTGTGGCTTAGTCTTCTCCAATAATCATTGTGACTCTTCTGCTTCACCTTCAAAACACTTCTTGCACGTTCTCCTCCTTCCACCCCCAAACCAAAATTAGTGCAGCAATTCAGCAATGTGTTGCAGGAGGAAGATTTTCAAGCAAACAGGCTGGACACCACAGACAATTTTAGGCATTCAAACTTGGGGATTATACTTAACTCATGAAAAAGGCTAGCAGTGAGGCTTTTTTTGATAGCTGGGAAGGCAGCTATCACTAACATGACTATTCCTGCTCCACACTGGCACTGGACACCCCTTTCCCTGACTGTGGCACCAGAGAGCCACCAGAGAACAGCACTGTTCAGTCACTGCCCATTTGGTCATTTTTGTAATGATGACCCACAGTGGACATTTTGACCTCAGGTCAATAGCCACAGCCCAACCTGATATGGGAGAAATTAGAACTAAATTGGCTGTGATTTGGGAGACAGGGAGTTTGCTCTTATCCAACAGCTGAACTAAACTTCCTAGAAAGCCTGCTGTGACACAGCAGGACAGGATGTGAAGGGCTTATTTCGTGATAGAGCTAACCAGGAAGGCTTCTAGGGAGCCCAGATGGTGCTCTTCAACAAATGAGCCTCAGAAAACCTCAGCTAAGGAAACAGAATGGGAATGAGCCAGTTCAGCAATGGGATAACTAGTCAGAGCAGTTCTGGGGCTCCAGAGAAAGCATGTGGCAAAACAGATGGTCCTAGGCAGAGTAGCTTGAGAGGTTTCCACCTCTCAGAAGCGTGAATTCTTGGCTGCGTTTACTTCAGTTTTACAAAAGCCCTGGTTATTGGTCTCTGTGTGTAATGCAGATGGTAAGTAAGCTTAGATTAATACTGGACATGTCATATTTCTGGTGTTCCATTTAGCTGGCTGGTTTTCACTCCCAAGAGTAAGAAAACAACAAGCCATAGCGCCTCAGAGAAACTGAGAAAATGGGTCCTACAATCTGTGTGAGTTGATGTTTTGTGGAGTTTAGGGAGGGAATTTAGAAAGCTTCCCATGGTCTGATCCAGTGTTCACACGAGTCTGTAGAGCACAGCATAATATTTGGTTTTGCTGTGATTTATTTAATATAAGGAAGCTTTTTTTCTTCCCTTATGAATAAAGAAGGAATTCAGGGGATTTTATGTCCCCCAGTTAAATGAATCTGGGAAGTACTATCATAAAAAAACATTATGAAGCACTCGAGCAGCTTGTAAATACTGAGGGTTTTATTTCCACTTCACATGGTCTCAAACAGACTCTTAAACAAGACCAGTTACAATTTAGTATGCCCAGAGATTTTCCATGGTTTTTCCAAAACAAAGGAAGTTCTCAGTAAACGCTGTATATAGCCAGTTGAACTGCTAACAATAATTTAAAAACTCTTTTTTGTATAGTCAATGCAAGAATACCAACAATAAAAGTACAGTACAGGTAAATTCACAACAATATTACAGTGAAACAGATTGACTCACATTTATGTGATGGTACAGTAGCAGTATGTACATGCACTAAAGTGCGAGGACCCAGAGGCATGCAAGTCAAGTATTGTAGGTGTATTTTACAGCTAACTCTGTAAGACTTTCTGAGGCATTCTTTTCTTTTTTTTTTTTTTTACACATTTACCTGTGTTTACCTGTATTCCCCTCCATCTCAATTAATTACAAGTCTAGTGAACGAGCTTAATGGCTTTCTTCACTACTTAAAAGGTATCGCTTCAGACAGTTGAAGCATCTTTAAGAATTTTACCTTTAAAAACTGATAACACTGACATTAAAATAGAATAAAATTAACTTAAGACCCTAGTTTTACATGAAATAAAAAAAAACCAAAAAACCAACCCAAAATACCCAAAACTAAAACTGAAAATGTAACAGTGCAAATATAACCAAAAGGCAGTCAGTATTTGGAGAGAGCACGAGCAAGTATTCAAATTCCCTTAAAACTTAATTTACATTTTATTTTAAATCTTACTTTTATATCATTTTAACCCTTTTTTTTGTTGTTTTTGTTAATATACTGTATGTAGAAAAGATGGAGACAAAAATAGTTCTCTCAGCTATGAAAAAAATTAAGTTATTACAGGCACATAAACTGTTTCATTCTAGAAACACCTCTGTTTCCCAGGTTGCACATTCAGCAGCTGTGTCTGAGAACATTCTTTGACCTCTCCAAGCGGACCTCGCTCCTTCATGGCAGAGACGGCTGGCGGGCGACCTGGCGGAGGCAAGCAGTGGCCTGCCCTGTTCCCATGCGGAGTCAGGCCGGCTCGCCTCCCTGGCTGGGGGTCTCTGCCAGCATCTCCTTGCTTCCACACTCCTCTGAGGAAGTCAGGTCTCTGGTGGACTGCGGCTGTGAGGCAGTAGGGGAATGTGAGGCCCATCGTGACGGTGGGCGCCGGTTCGCTGGTCTCTCTGGCCGGGAGAAGCAGGGTTGGAGGGACGGGGCTAGTGCAGAACAAGGCAGTTCCTTGGCAGCCAAGAGAGCAAAACAGAGGTTAGTGACTTGCATTAGAGACCGTCAGGATGCGCGAAGAATTAAGAAACAAAACCGCCAAACTAAAGCTAAGCGTGTGTCAGGGCGCGGGACAAAAGCAAGCAGCAAACACCTGGCTGCGTGAGGGATCCAGGTATCTGCATCTGAGTCCATGATTTATGGAACAGGTAAGGAGACAATGAAAGAAAGAGGGTGAGTTGGAGTAGCTGACACACTTTCAATTGCTATTTCTCCTTGTGCTAGAAAAAGAAGAGCTGAAAAGTACATTTGCATAACAATTCAGGATAATCCACTATTCAACACTTTAAGTGCTGACCTAGCATAAAAAGACTAGGTTTGGCATTTGCAAGACAGGTGAAAAAATCAACCACCGTCTCCTTTTTTCCTCCTTCAGAATTCAGACTTGACATGCAGGAGACTTCTTAGCACAGAATAATGACTACAGGGGTAGTTATGATCTCCAGCTGGGTTAAAGATGAGGCTTACCTACAGACTTCATTTTCTGGAACACTACTTCTAATTGCCAGCTGCTGAAGCCTGAACTACAGGATTCAGACGTACTCTATGTTAAAGGCAACATTCACAGAAATGGAAGAAATTGGAAATTTTATTCCTTCACCAAGTTTCCACTGTTCTGGCGTGGTTATCTTGCCTTGGCAATTAGAAACAATCTGTGGTTGTGATTTTTCACCCTGGCACTAAGTTGGTAATGATTTTAATATTCATAGACTTTGCTCAAAGTATAATTGCACTTTTTGCTTTGCTCTGAATGCTCTCTACATCAAGATGAGTGACTGTGAAAGCAAGTCTGTCTCATAGGGCCAGAGCCAAAGTTGTGAATTTCACTGCATACTTTGAAATTTATAAAAGCAAGTCAGAGTAGTTTTCCAGCATCTAGCAATGTGTACACTAAACAGCAGTCACTGGAATGTACAGGGAAGTTCAATAAAAACCAAAGTCAGAATGCAAATAAAGTGATAAACGAAGAGAGAGACCAGAAATGATACAATGCAAAGGAAAAGCTGTGGCACAGCAAAACGCAGGGATACCAGGGCAGCAGGGAGGCCAGGATTCAGCACACTGTTTCCCATGGAGAAAGAGAATAGTGACTAAGGTGGAGAATATTGGAGTAGGTAACATGATGTGATTGACAGTGAACAAACAAGGTGATAAGACATTGAACTTCTCAGTTGCAGTGGAAGACCAAACAAGAATGTCATAGGACAGAAAGACCAATTTTGAAGACATAGAGTTGAGGTATGAGAAATGGAGCTGCTGACACCTGTTTAGGAGAGAGTGCATTGTTGGACTTGGGGAAGCCTCAGTGAAGGGTCAGTCCAGGTGTTTTGGGAAGCATGCAGCCAATGGGGTGATCTACAGCTGCACACCAGTGCTTGAGAAAGAGCTATGGCCAGCTGCCCTCAGCACTTGCAGAGCACTTCAGCCTGCACCCCCCCCCTCTGCATCCTCACCCCCCACCCCATCTCTGCCCCATAAACTTTACAACCCTCGCTAAAACAGCAGTAAGGCTTAAATAGAAATTGGTGCTAACAAGAGGATTGAGTGTGTGTCCTTACTTCACCTTATCCCATTGTGCCTGGGGCAGCATATGGCATGCGAAAGCTGCCACTAGACTCAGATTTGTTAAGAGAAACCCATCTGTGCAGCAACAGTCATGGGCAGCACAACACAGTGAAAAGAGGCTATGAGATTTGCGGGTTTTGTCTTAGCCTCTTTCAAAAAGGAGGCTTAAAATGATATCTTTATAGTGCTGCTTGCTCCTGGCTGCTTTATCCTAGTTTCAGAGCAGTAAAACAGAGTTAGCACAGAGATAACAAAATTTATTTCCACTGCTGCCTCCCCGTTCAAAAGCCTCTTTCCAGCACACCCGCAGATGTTGGTCAGCTTTACCAAGCAGCAAGGTTAAACTCATCTTATCTGTGATGTACACATGTCCAGCAGCACACAAGGCTGTGCTAGTGATGGATATTGCTCCAGGGCCAAGAGTGACTGGCAGCAAAATCTTAGAAAGTGCTGGCTGCTGAGTCAGTCACCCCACCCTGCAGCGTGGAAATCCAGCCATGACAAGGAAACTCTGCAGAATGGTTTGCGAAAACCCCTCCTCCCTTACTACATGTAGCTGTCATAGCTAGAAATGTTTTTTTTTTTTTTTTGGTTTTTTTTTGGCTTTTTTTTTTTAATAAATAACCTGTGAGTAATTTAGTTTGGTAGTTGCTCAGAGGTGTAGGTGGATAGGCAGCATTTCTTAGCCTGAACACTGAAAATGGGAAAGATTATTTCAGCTTCAGTTTCTAGCTATTTCCTAAAACAGGCTGTCAGCCACCATGGCTATGTCTATATTAATAAATAAAGAAAACAGTTTTCTCTTCTCTCTGAGGCAAAATGGATGGTCACAGCTTATATCTGCACAGTGTGTTCCCTCTACTGTGGCAACTGCAGCCACTGGACAGAACTGGGCCCAGAACTACTTAATGACCAAAGGTGACTTTAGCCTCTAGCTCCAGGCTGGTGCTGAAGCTCCTTCCCAGCCCTCTCCACCTGCTGCTGTAGCCAGAACTAGAGGGAAGGCATCCTGGGGCAGCCAGAAGCCTTGTGCAGTGCTGTGCATTTGTCATGAATCTGAAATCTGGATCACTCCCCAGCATTTTTGCATACCTTTGGGCCAGTCTTAAATTTTGCCACTTTAAAAAAGCTTAGCAAAAAAACCCAACAGCACAATTTTTGACTTAATGTGACCTCTTCCCAGCCTGTGCTGCTGCAGGACACAGCAGATGAGCTCCTATCCTGAGCTCTTCCTGATTGTGACATACAAAGAATCCCACAGGGATGTCAGGTGCATGCCGATACCTCTGGAGTTGTGGTCATTTATTTCCCTCTGTTAACCCACATGTTCAAGAATGACCGCCTTCGGAAAGCTCTGGAAACAAGGTAGAAAGGACTTACAGCAGTGAGGCAGGCAGGGTTAGAGTCCCCAGGGGGTAGTTAATAAGACAGTTTGGTTCTGGACAGAACAGACAGAAAAGAGAAAGAAAGCAAGTAGGTTGGAAAGAACTGTTTTAATTGATTATTTTTTTAAAGTGAAGATTTCATGTCTGCAAGGAAGAAGTCTCCCAGTGTTACTACTCATTCAGATCATGTTACCAGTGTTATCACAGGGAAACTAATAATCAAAAATAAAAGCCAAGCCACTGGAAGGAAAAGACTTAGAAAGAAAGGAAGCAAACAAACCAATGTTTTACAATCCTAGCACAGTTTCAGAAGTGGATATAACAATAAACAAACCAAACATTTCTACTCAGCAGAGAAAGATATCTGGTTTTTTTTTGCCAACCTTGACTGGGGCTAGGGAAAAAACACATTACTATGAGAGGAATAAAGCTGTGGGTTTTTTTCCTTCATTTGATTTCAAGAGAGCGTTTCTGCTTAGGGAATCTTTAATAAGCAAGAAAATGGCTGTTATTGTTTGTTGCTTACACTTCTACTCAGGTTTCATGACAACTCTTTGCCTCACCTTTCTCCGTTGTTTCTCTTCAGCAGTGATGCTCGATGGGAAACTCAGGCTTAACCAAAAGCCCTTTAATTCTGTCAACACCTTCCCTGATTTTCAACATTCCCCCTCCCGTGCTGAAGGGCTCAGTGACAAGCCTGTGGCAATTGCTTGACCCTGGTGAGCAGAGGATGCAGCACCTGCTCTCTCATCTGTGGGTCTGTGTGGATGGTCCTTTCACAGTGTTGTCTCCAGAAATGAGTCAGACTCCCAGTCCAGGACTGTTGTGTAACCTCCACGATCTACACCCTTGCTAGTCATAAAAGCAAAAATGTTCCTAAGGCTATTACATTGTTAGTTAGGTAATGCTAATCTGCATTTTTAATAGTAAAATGTATAAATCCTATGACACACACCTAAGATAGGAGTTTAGTGATTTAGCAGGATAAGACACCAGTAGGCCACACTATGTGGATATGAATTTGCCTGTAAGCAGCTCTGGGCAAGTCAAAAACACAAAGTTATTCCTGCTCTGTATGCATATACACTCACATGCACATGCACATGTACATAAATAGATAAATATATGAACTAGATTTCATATTTGCAGCAGGAATAAAGAAGGAAATTATGTAACTAAACAACTCAGAAGCTCAAACTGAGGAAAAGTCACCAACAGGTGCTGCATGCAAGTTTAATATGCTATGGCTGCAGAACCCAGAAGACGTTCGGTGGTAAGAAGGGCACTTGACTTGGCCAGAAACCAACAGGTCAGAGGGAAGCAGAGCAGGAATCTACAGGAGGGTGGAAGCATTGTGTCAGCGCTGCCCCAAGCACAAACCTGCCTCCTTCAAGATCATAATTCCCTGAACAGCTTTGTACAAAATGTGCTAAGAGACTTTGTACAAAGTGTAATTTGTGTGGTCAGGGTAATCCACAAATAACTCAAGGCACCTGCAGAGTCTAAACTTATTTGTGGGTGGTTTTTTTTCAGCAGCAAACCCACGCTTCCCTTGAGTACATCTTCCAGAGCACCATCTCAGTTAGGAAAAGCTAAGCTCATTGTGGAAATGCCCACCAGTTTCCTTTTCAATCCACATTCCTGAGAAATGCTAGGAGCAGCCAAAGAACAAAACCTGTGCATGTAGACTACAGTCATAGCAACCATGTAGGAGCTGCAAGGAGAAACAAGTCTTAGCTCTAGGGCTCGTAACTCAAAAAATTAGGCAAAAGATACTGAGAATTCACAAAAAGGAGCAATTTTCTGCCAGTTTAAGGGTCAATTATTTTTTGATAAATAGCAGTGACCCAAATCTCTCTGTGCATCAAACTCAGGTACTGTTGCTAGTTTGTGTTTTGCCAGCAGGAATTTGTGATGATGTGGGATGACATCCATCTATTTATATTTGAAACCTACTGAGGCAGTTAAAAGATACAGGAGGAAATCAAGAGTTTCCAGAGTTACCTTGAAGGCAAAGCTGAATTGAACTTGTTAGAGTACAACACACTTCCTAATACAGACCAGTAGTGTATTCCCAGTATTTCAAACTAAGGACAAAATACAGAGAGAGCTGGAAAATGTCAAATAAATGAGGCTGCTTCCCACCTTTATTCACTCTGAGGTTTGTGCACAAAGACCACTTTCACTAACTAGTATTTATAATGTGCATGTGGTTTCTTTTCTTTTCCTTTTTTAATTGGAAAACTTCCCTGCTTATATCTGTTTAAACTGCACATAGGGGATAAATCCTTAGGTTTGGATTGTCTGTTCGGAAAAAAAGATCACATCATCTGAGCAATACCTACAAAAAAGGAACTGAGAACCACCCACTAGGTAACCAAAGATTCCAGGATATCCCTGGATATCCTTCATGCCACATGTTGAGTTAGAAAGCGAGGTTTGAACCTTCCCTTCTGAGGTACCTGAGGCAGGAGTAGTAGGAGTCTGCCCAGAAAAGGCAAGGTGGATGTATGGGGTGTGCAGGGGTTAAGGAGCTGCTTCCCTGGAGCCAGGGCTCACCACAAGACTAGGATGCTGAAGGGACAGCACAGGGCAGAGAGGATGAGGAGTCCTTGCCTCTGCTTCTGGGGACTGTCACCAACCAGCAATACACACCCCTTTTCATGGCTGTACCAGAAAGGCAACACATGCACGTAAGAGCTGGGCATAATTCAGCTTTCCTGGATTTCTTAACAGAAAGACTTTCAAGTGCTTTCAAAGGTTCACCAGAAACAGGAGATTTAAATACTGGTAACTGAAAACTTTCATCCATCATTACACCTTCCATTTTTGTTGATTGCTGTTACACCTGAGACTGACCCCCAACATCTGGGCACACTTGCTGCGACAGATGATGACTTCACAAAATACCAGCAAGGAGTTCTTAAGCACTAAATAGGTATGTGTCTAGATTAGTTGATTACATGTGTATTTTTTGCTTTTTGTTATTTCTGTGAGGCAGCAGCAGTCAGTACCAAACATCATGCCATTCAATCACATTCACAGACCTGAGCCAAACTTAATCAGATACATTCAGGAAAGATATGCTGAAGGCCCTGAAGGTTTGCTCCAGGGTACTGTAGAGACTATTTTTCACAAAAACTTGTTAAGACCCATTCTTGTGTAGGAGAAAGAATCTACCTTTCCATCCAGCATAAAAATTTATTCAAACCCAGTGTCCCTAGAGCACCTGTAACCAGTGGTGTATTTTGTGACAGAAAACCTTATCCCAGCTGTTCAGGGAAAAAACATTTTTTATCCCATAAAGGCTAAAACTCTTCTGATGCTTTCAAGCCAAATAAGCTGCCAGGATAGAGATTCAATTCTTTCATGCATTCTTCAGTGATTAATCCAAAGTTTCATGACTGGAAATTGCTGGTGGTACCAGGACAGGACTAGGATATTCACTGTAAATACTCAGTAGGACCGCAAGAAATCTCATAATACATTTTCTCAAAGAAGAGTGCACTTAGCTATAGGAGGAAAAACAAGCAAATTCATTACCTCTATGGACCCTGGATCTACTTTGACAATTTCTCCTGTGCTGTTGTCATTGCTAAGATTTGGTGGGCTGTGTGAAGGTAGCCTTCTCTCTTCCTTTAAGGCATGCTCCAAAAGTTTCTTATTCAAGATCCTGGCAGCATTTTCTGCAAGTGTGTACCCTGGAGGAGCAGATAAATCCTGCCTAATACTTGTCACCTCAGATCCTTCTTCCTTTTGTGTCTCTGTCCCCAGACGGAGAGGACTGGGTGATCTGCCACGGGCATTTGTACATGGCTCCTGCAATGTGCCCAGTTCTGCTCTGGGTTCTGCTGACCTGGACCGGCTGCCAGATCTCGGGCATTTTTGGAAAGTCTCATGAAAGGTGGGGCTATGGTCAATGATGTTGAACAAACTGGACAGGCCATCATTGATAGTGGTGTGGACAGGACTCTCCCGTGTGGTAGTCGATCGAGCCCAAGCGGACTCGCTGAATCCTTTCTGAGGCGTGCCAGGCAAAGTCCGGTTATTTGGCTGGTCTGATTTGGGAAGGACTTTCCTTTGCAGCTTTGGAGAGCCGTATTTGGGGGAGCAGCATGTACGTTCAAACTTAGCCTGGACCTTTTCAATGACGGGGGTCACCTGCCTGCTTCTTAGACTTCTGGATGGTGATGAGACAGGCGTGGACCCCCCCTTTGGTGTCAGACACTTGTGTGGACTGCTGGTGATACTGCGCAGGGTTTCCGTCTGCAAGCCGACGCTGATGGTCTGGGTGGTCTGTGTCCCTGTCGTTCTCATGCCGTTGGTTTGGCACGCCGTGTCCTTAAACTGAGGCTCTGTGGAGTTGGAGCGTATTGCGTTCCGGACAGAGAAAGCGACCTCCTTCATGTCATCACTCATGTTCTTGGACATCTCCAAGCTGTGCAAGGGTGAGGCAAAGCCCACAGTAGTGCAAATAGGACGTTCAATGGGATGAAGACCGTTCTCCAGAAAATCTTTATGGTGTTTGGCCAGGTCACAAGACCACCTTCCAAACATATCCGAGGAAGCACCTTTTGTCTCAGTGACGTTCCCCATAGCTTTGGTCACAGAAAACAGGAAGTCTGGCTCAGCCTGATTTTTCCCTTCACTGCCAGCTATCACTGAGTTATCGAACCTACGGACAACCGGTGGGCTGTGAAATACCCGCACTCCCATTTTGTCATTGACACTGTGACTCCTTGTTGGCTGCTTCTGGCAGTGCTCTGGGCTGGTCATGGTGTTGGTGGTCATAGTGACACTGGTGGTGAGGTACCATGAGGATGCCTGGAATGGATCTGAAGCAGGATCATTCCCAGCTTTTCCAATTTCTGTCCTTTCTGCCCAACCCTCTGCAGGCTTCTCAGTTGTCCCACCATGGCTCTTAGCATTACTGTAATCCCAGTTTTTGTTGAACTCCTCAATGTATTTCAAATCATCAGGAGACAAGGGAGGTGTTATATCATCTTTGCTGCCAGATGAAGGTAAATTTTTTTCTGGTAGAAATGGAGAAATATCCATCAGGCGCTGAAATTCAGACATAGAAGAAACGGACATTGCCCTGGAGAGAGGAACACAAGAGAGTCACTCATGTGCCTGAAATCGTTGTACAGTAACTTATTTTCAGCAGCAAACTCTGGAAACCCAACTTTCATCATCTCCTTACATATAAAACCCTTCAATCATTGAATCATAGACTGTCCTGAGTTGGAAGGGACCCACAAGGATCATCAAAGTCTAACTTTTGGCCCTGCATACCCCAAAAAAGACGCCATGTGCCTGAGAGAATTGTCCAAACACTCCCTGAACTCTGGCAGGCTTGATACCATAACCACTTCCCTAGGGAGCCTGTTCCAGTGCTCAAGTACCCTCTGAACAAAAAACTTCTTCCTACTTTTCCTTCCTTTAGCTCTTTCTTTCATTTAAGTCCCCTTTTACTCATCTTTGATATAGCTGTGAACACAAACATCTGTCATATGCCATTAAAAGTACCAAATGGTTTATTAGAGGTTCTTAATTTACTACTTTCTTATGGATTACTGCTAGGCAAGTATCTGTAATGTGGAGCAGTAGGATGCATCTCAGAATTATACCATTCACAGGAAATGAGTGTTTGTGACAATGCGAGGCACACTTTTCAAAGCAAGTGTAGAGTATTTCTGACCTGCTGGGAAATCAAGTCCACCCTCACTCCTGAGACTGCCCAGACTGCACAGCTGGAGTGCAGTGATGTGGGACATCCAGCAGAAATACTGCTACATTGAACTGGCTTGGTGAGTTGAGCTCATGCTGAAATTTAACCAAGGGAACCTCTCTAAGTGATAATGCTGAATTCTTAGCTCTTCCGCATTTTACTAATTTGTACAAATCACAGGCATTCAGATGAGTAATCCTACTGCTTTATTTTAAGACAAAAAATTCGAATGGGACTAAATAAAAATGCAAATAAGTGTAGTTATCAGAGCTGGTTCAATGAGGTAACTCATTGAGAAGTCAGTGATCCAAAGGATAGAGCCAAGTCACATGGTGAGTTTTTAATCAAGAGGTCCTGCTGTAGTTAGGGTGTGTCTCTGTTAGGGATTCAGGTGAGTATGGTTTCTAAATGGATATCCTAGTAAGATGCTCTGGTTTGCATCAGGAGAGCAATCTCAGAGGGCAGAGGCTTCATTCCTTTGTGATGAAAATGAGCTGGGTGATGTTGTCCAGAAGCACAACAAATGCATTCTAGGGTTTGGTGGGTATTCAACCCATGGGATAAGACCAGAACCAGTCCAAAGCAAAACATCCCTGACATGCAGCAGCATATCATGTCCTCAGCACCAAGTGTTTTCCTTTACATATGGATGTCTGCAGTGTGTTCTGCACTGCTTGCTAAGGCAGGAGTAGATTTCACTGTAAGGCGCAGCTTCATATACTTTTGTAGTTTGCTCTTTGTGCACAACAGCTGAATGTGGCCCAAGTTAACCAGAGGAGAAATGAAGCATATTGAGACAAATGAATCCCTGGGTGCATCCTTTAATCTGGCTTGCAGGATGTTTAGGAGGCGGCATGGCTATGTTCTGGCCTGTGGCTTAGGTGCAGAGAGTCATACCTCCAGCAGCTGAGTATTTGCTGGGCTTTCCCTTGCAAGTTTTACTCACCTTTGAAGATTTCCTTTGTGTGTTTCTTCCTCCTGAATGAAAACAGAAACAAGCAGGATAAGTTATTTCTAAAGGTGTTGGTAGCATTAGCTTATGGGTATTTTGTCATTCTCTTCCCATTAGTTGCACCAGGTATGTCTCTAAAAAGTGTCTGATTTTCTCTCTGATATAGATTTTAAAGTGCCAGTGGGAATATTCTTCACTTTGTACATAGGCAGGAGAGTGGGCAATCCCATCAGGATAACACACTGCAAAGGTAAAGCCTATATGCCAAATCTACAACAGCTTTGAACTTTTATATTCCTATGCAATCACAAATAGATGTAGCACAAAAAAGACGTTTTTCCCCACAATATATCGTTTCAGACTATATATTTTTGAGTGACTTTATTCTGTGGAGGCAACCTACTTTATGCAAGAAGCCTAGCTGTGCTGAAATAAAAGATAAACTGAGTTCCTTTGACATAATATTTCATTATACATTTTCTAGGGACCAACAAGTGGCACCAGTTGAAATTCCTTAAGCTTGACATATTAGATGTGTGGGAAGACTGGCTTGTTTCGTAGATGGAATACCTACAGCTTGCTATCAGCATTAAGATGTTTTTATTTCCCAGTTATTTCCTTGTGACAATTCCCATAATGAGTTGGGGTTTTAAATAGCTACTTCTGAAGCATTTGCTCTACAGTTATTCTAACTGTTTACTTATATTTCTAAGTAAACTACAGGGAATTCAAAATAGGATCAGGGGAAAAAACAGAGCATTGGTACTGTACGTATTTTATTTGACCTTGTGAAATCAAGAACATTACCAAAAGTCCATGTCAAATTGGGACTGTTTAAAAACAGCACTGCTTAACTCAGCAAATACCTTTCTGGTATTTATCCCGGGTCAGGGAAAAAAATAGTAGGAAACTGATCCTCCTTGCATTCACTGTGGTATAATTCTGGAATAACGTTGGTGGCTTCCGTAGAGTTACTGCAGGTCAGTAAATCTGACCTAACAGAATGCATAATCAGGGTGAAGGCTGGATTGACTTCTACTGCAGTTAGTACCAGAAAGAAAATAAGTGGAAGGTAGAGTCAGCAAGCTGAAGCTGCCTCTGTGCATCCTCAGTTAAGCTACTCATTAAACTCTAATCAGTCTCGCTTCAGCAAACCCTCTGAGGCAAAATTACTTTGCCCAGGTTTCCCTAAAATATGCTTTGAAGGAAAGAAACTATGAAGATATCACCAAGGGCAAATTTTGCTGCCCATCCTTTTGTTAATGGTGGTAATATCAGAAAAACAGAAAATGGAAGAGATTTTCTCTGAAAATTAGACTGAATTTGAAGGAATGGGAACCGCAATCAAAATTAAGCACAAAACTTAGTTCCCTGATAGGGATACCAACATTCTTCACTGAGCACTTGGACATGTATGAAAAAAAGGCTAAGAAATAATAAATATGGGATTCCACACTGCCAGCAATACACTTATGGCACGGAGGGAAGAAAATCTAACTGGAATGCATAGCTACCTACAGCTATGTAAAAAGAACAGTCACATTTCTTGTCTCTGTAATCTTTTTTTCTCTTCTTCCTCTCAAAGAACTTGATTTCTCAATCCTTTAGTTTTATATCAGCATTTGGGGACAGGGATGCTTGGTTGCACTCAGAAGCAATATAAACAAACTGCGAAGACCTGGAACTGATGAAAATAAGTCTGCCACGGTGGAGGACACAGACTTCATTTGCCATTTCCTGCTGTCATCTTTTAGCACTGTGTTTTATATCTTTATAGCTTTATGGTGTGACTTCAGGGTAGGTACTTTGCTGATAAATAACTTTATTATTTTAACATCTCACTTACTCATGCTGATCTGTTTCGAAAGCAACCATGGCAGAACAATCAGAAGTGCCTCTCTACTTTTAGTAAAGCACTAACTGCTTTACTAACAAAGTAAAGCCCATGTTTCTTTATAAATATGTATCTGCTTACAATTGGAAAAGATTTAAGACCTCCTAAGCCAATACATGGTGTCAAATATAGTTCTCATACATAACATGAATGGCCACAAGATGAAGTAATCTTTGGGACCTTCCGGCTGGCTTCCAGTTTCTCAGGTGACTGACACTGGTCTAATCAGCTTATTAGAAGGAATGAAAACTTGTCAATACCAAATTTACTACTGGGTAACTGTAAGCAGTGCCTGTGACACAACATCTCACTTCCTAGAGCAGGGGAGCTGTATTGATTCTGACAGAAGAGATAACAGCATGATAAAATGTAGAAGAGCTCATACTTCTGTTAGTCCAGTCAAGAATTTCTCCCGCTCCAGGTGCCGAGAGCGATGCTCATCAGGCTCGTCGGGGGAGTTGAGGGACAGTGATTCCAGGAAGAGGTTTTCTGTGGCACTGCACCGGTCGCTCTCCTTCAGCTTGGACAGTGACCGCTCATCAAACTGAATGGTGTCGGAGTCGGAGTAGGACCTGGACCCCATGGAACGGGGCACGCGGAGGCTCCCCTGCGGCGTAAACGGCCGCCGGCTGCTCTCGCTCTGCTCACACATCAAACCACCTCCTCTCCTTGGGCTCGCTTCTTTCTGGAGCTGGAGACAAGGCAGATTAAAAGGAGCAGCAATTACTTCTGCAGTGAATGGCATTTGGCAGAACTCATCCTTCCCCAGGAGCGAGGCACCCATGCCCTGGGGATTACAGCCCTGCCCCAGGGGTGCACCTCCAAGGGACACTGGCCTTGCTCTACTGGTCGTTCCACAAAGAAAGACTTCTCTCGAACTTTGATGCTATTACTCATGGGATTTTGAGTGACTAAATGTGTATATGCACAATTTTGCTTATTTACATCTATATGTATACATATAACACACTGAGTATATATGTATATACAAAATAATGCATCTGTCTGTAATCTGGTTTTTAAAGAAACAAATCAACACAGACTGTTATTTAAAAGCAATCTTGATAGCAGTACAAGTAAAAGCTGATGGAAGGCTGAGCGAATTACCTTCTCATTAAAACAAAGACATTTTTCTTCTGGTCAGCAAGACAAAGGCTGCACTTTTATGTATATCACTTGTTTCCAGAGGTGGAAAATTATGCTTAGAAAACCTGAAAAGCTTTGTTTTATAAATGGCCTAGCCTGAATGCATGTCTGGAAAGTTGAGTATTTGTACAGAACAGCATTGTCAAAGGGATGAATTAGGCATGCAGAACATGTTCAAAGAAAATGTATATTTACAGAAGGAGCATCAAAGCCATTAACTCTACGTTTTTCAAAAGCTGGTGAATAGAGGGCGAACCATTAGTGAAATTGCCAATATTAAAATTATATTATGTGATCAATTTCTCTTTTAATTGTAAATGCAACAGGATGGATGAAGTAAGTGATAATTTCAAACATGATAAATGACTGCAGGAATCTGATAAGAACTCTGATGTTTTGCTAGAGCAGCATGTTAAGATTAGTGACAATAAACTGAAAATGCAAGTCATTCACTAGGGCCCTGGAAACTGAGAACCTACAAAACATATTTATCTTGCTGCTTGTGTTTGGAAAAATAAGCAGACATTGTAGTGCTTAATTTAGACCAAACCATTTAAGGTCTCAAATGATTAAATTTACACTTGAGATGAAAATAGTGAGATTTTTTTTCTTGATTCAGGTCTACAAAAAGGGAAATGGACCTTCAGTGTTTTGTTCATGATGTACAAAATCTGAGACAGTTTCATTAAAAGGAGGTGTCCTGTAAAGGCAAGGGCTGGAAGGTATGTATCAAGGGATCCTGGGTGCCATTCCTGAGCATATGGGCAAGATTCAATAGAAGGAGAAATGGTAATCACATGCTTTCTTTATAGATAGCTCTAATTGCAAGCCCTTCAGAGTTTTAGGGATTCTATAAGGACAATGTTCTAGAAATCTTTATGAGAAAACAGTATCAGTACTTCCTTACTCCCTGAACCTCAGAGAGCTGACAGGAGAATTAAAGTGACAAATAATTGTCCTAACTTTTTAATAATGGGTAATAATTTTGAGTCCCCTTGTTTTTATACCTTTAAATACACAACTTTTCATACAGGTGATCTTGTGAATTTAAATATTTGTCATTGTGTTCTGTGCACAATTAGCCTTATGAGCACAGGGGAGGGAGATTCTCTAAGGGGAAATGAAGTGACAGAGTACTTAAAAAGAAAAAACAACAACTGTGAGCTCTGAAGAAAGTAGGTCATCGTGTTTTTTCTATGCCAGCAGTATTCCCATCACCATCCAGAGTAAAGTACTTTATATATTTTATACATTGGTATGACTTCCCTCTTATCATACATGTATTATTCAGGAGCTGTGTGAAAGCAGACTGGCATAAAGCATTAGAATGAAATGTGGCACACACACTTCTGCTATCTCTTGGACTTAGTTTCAAACATACACAGTGGTGTAGTCTCCTCATCCTCTGTGTATTGCCATACATGGAATACACACACCAAAACCCTGGGGAGTAGGACTTCAGAGATATACTAATTGTTTCCATATAAAGCAGGGCATGACTGCAATCTGAGACAATATTCAACTAAAAGCTTGCAAATATTTGGAAGCTTCCTGTCACACAGGGAAATGTTTGATTATAAGCAAAGATGGGGTTATGAAGTTTTGTAGGCAGGTAGCCAAGACTTCAAATGCTATTTCTGGTCATTTAGTCCTCAGAAGTTAGTTTGACATAATATTTTTTATTTCCCCTATTCATTGCCAATTCTGTGTACAACTCTGTTGGCACAGTAAATATATAGTTAAAGCCCTAGAGGTTTCAGAAACATAACGAAAGAAATCAGTTCCAGCACTAGCTAAGAACTATTTTGTAGGCTCTCCCAGGATGACACTGAGAGGTTATGCCAGGTTTTAAGAGAATTAAAAGCTAGGTAACATTAACAGGGATTTCTCTGTGGCTTCCTTCAATGTGCCCCTTTCCTAGAGAATGGAAAAAGCAGTCTTTAACCAGGTTAAGTCCCTCAAGCTATTGAGGATATACCTAAAACCCGACAATTTATAAAAACATCCAAAATAAAGTAAACATCTAAAGAGGTACCAGTGACTTTTCAAAAAAAAGTTTCTGTCTACGTCCTTAGTATACTGGAAATTTTTCCAAGGTTTATTTAATTGCCATTGTGCATGAAGAATCCATAGGAGGTAGTTTGGCCACTACAATCCAACACTTAGAAACCAGCCCAGTCAAGCCATGGAAAACTAACTAGGCACCATCTGCCACTGAACCCTGCAAGACAGGAACTTTGCATGATGAGCTTTGCTATAAGGCTTACAGTCTCTGATGGTTTTATCTTAGGAGATGCACTACTGTGTTGCATTATAAGGGCTAGCTCAAAAAGCTGCATGGAGTACATACTTAACCCCTCAGATATATAAGAGATTAAAAAATTCAGAATATTGTTTGTTGATATTTTGAAATTTAGAAGCTCAAAAATCACCTTTCTTGGTCTATAAAACCTTCATGCTTGGCACTGTCCACTCAGACCTATACTTCTAGCATTGATTTTAGAAATACCCACATGAGCATGGGATTTTCCTAAGTGCTTCTCTGTGGGTTTAATAGCCACAGCTCAAACCAAGGTTGTCTTGTACTCATAATATTTCCAGCCTGGTGTCTTTCTTTAACTTCTTGTTGCAGCCCTGATGTGGGAACATGAGACACAGACAATGAATCCTTTTCAAAAATTGATCATGAAGGTACACTGGGCTTTCATTGATTTAAACTTGAGAGGCCACTCTGTGCTTTTCTCAAGTATAATGCTCTCTAAAGATCATGCACAAGTCATCCATTTCTGATGTCCTAAGGACAGAAATAATTCAGTTAACTGAGGACCCACAATTTCAATTGTTTCTCTTGCTTTTCCTGGAATGCATGACTCAGAGCTGAACAATATTCAGTCAAAAACGGTGTTTTAACTTCCCCTCATAAAACTTCATTTTTTGTGTGGCTTCCAGGCTGAATTTCATAATGCCTAATGAATTTATTAAATTCATTAGGTATTATTTGTCTGTAATACTAAGAAGATGAAAATACAGATAGGCATGAAAAAAGGGGGTAGGTATGCATTTCCCAGATTTGCAAGTGATAATAGAGGTTTGCACAAAATTAATGTGACCAATATTCTTCTAAATATTTAGTACTGATAACTGTGTTTGTTATCAGTTAGGGCTCTTCATGTTAACTCCTGTGCTCCTTTTCCAGAGAAAGAGAATTCAATTGAGACTGAACAGATGCAGCAGCTGCATCTTTGGTGGCAAATTCATGGATGAACAGTCTCTTTCAGCAAGAAGTTGGGTACCAAAACCTGAGTATCTCTTTGGGTTGAGTGTTTTAGCACAGAGATGCACTAAAGCTTTCAAACAGAATGTGACCATGCTTGTCCAGGGTAATTGAAATAAGGAAATGACCTCTAACCTAGAGCTGATTTCTCATAAGTGGTCTTTTATAGGGATTATGAGCATTTTCCTTTTACTCCCTTGTGTACATAAATTGTTTTGTAACATGAGAAACATTGATGTAGCCATGGAAGCAAAATCATTCCTGTGCTGCTTCTTAATGCTGTCCCTTGAGCTTGGCCTAAGTGTAGTAATGGTACAATGGCCTCATTCTTTCAGACAGGCACTGCTCACCTGAGGTGACTCCTTACCTGACAGCTCCTTACCTGCTCTATCCGCCTGAGCAGCTCCTTCTTTTGACGGTCCCATTCTCGCCGGTCCCTATCAAGCCTGTCCAAGAGCTCCACCTTTTCCCGGTTCCAATTCTTCTCACTGTGCTGGATTTGCCAGCGGAGGTCCATCACCACACTGTGACTGTCAGCCAGAAGCTTCTTGTGCTCTTCTCTTTCCCTTTTAAAAGCTCCCTTCGCATCCAAACCAAGACCTGTTTCTCCAGAGGTATTCTCACTCTTCCCTTCCAGCTAGCAATAAAGTCAAAAGTTACTAGGAACATTCTGCAATAAAAACCTGTGCCTGACAAAGCATTAAAGACCTAACTTTACAAAGGTAATGGCAGAATAATAGCAATTATTACATCTTAGGATCTCAATAAATGATCAAATATTTTCAGAATGGAAAAAGTTTTAACATCAAGACAGTGAAAACTACAGAGAATAACTTCTCAAGCTCTACCAGTACATGCTCTTAAAGCACCAGTTATGATTTTCTGATGGGAATATAGGTAATGAAGGAAACACGGAGATAAACTCCAACCTTTTCATTATCTCTGAGACAATTTTCAGAACAATGTCCTCAGCTACTGCTCTGATTTTGTGCTCTTGCTCAGTTTACCTGAAACCTAAGGAGTGTGAATTCATCTTCTGAGGAGGCTTATTCCACAACAACCCTCAGAAGTGGTGTTATTGTATGACTCTCCTGCCTTCCAACAAGAGAAGGTGTTAGCAGCAGCAGCAGCAGGTGCACCAAGATCATCCTCCCATCTCTGTGGTTCTGGACTCTGAACTGATTTCAAGGGCAGTTATCTGATGCCACCTTCCCTCCCTTCTTCAATTTCATGATCAGGGTCAGCTTAAACAGATCAAAAGAGCTGGCCCAAGGCAATAGATTCATAGGGAAACAAAAGCTTCAGGAGGTCTCTAGTTCCACCTTCTGCTTCCAACATGGACTCTGAGATCAGAATGGGTTGTACAGGACTTTGTTCAGATGGATCCTGAAAAACCTCCAAGTGCAGAGATTGTACAACCTCTCTGATCAAGCTGGGCCAGTGCTGGACTGTTGTCAGAGGGAAAAAGTGCTCAATTGTTTTGTGTAACTTCAAGTGAGTGAAGAATTTATCCTTGGAATCTGACCTTCTGTTGACAGCTCAGTAGATGTGTGTGTGACTCAGAATGGGATACATCTCCATCCCCTAGCTCTGCAGGTGAAATGAAGTGAAAACTCATTTCCACCTCTGGAGTTAATGTTGTCCTCAAAAATGAGAGGCAGCAGGTCTGCTGGGAAGCATATTCCTCTAACAAGAGAGAAGGACAACACCTTCACCTTGCCCTTTGTGGAAAATAAGCCCAAACTTTCTGAACAAAGAAATTTCAGACTGGATTCAGGAGTGATGCTGACTAGTCTCTGGAACAGCCTCCCCAAACAATTGACTGAGAGATTACTGCCTGAGTTACTTAAATTGTACTGAGCTGCAGATAACACCCTGTTACATCCACTTGCAGTGACAGGGAAATCTTAAAAACACCGGCATCTTCTACCGCTAATTTTCAGAGTCCAGTTGTTTTTTTTTTTTTTTTCAAATAACCAAATAACCAAACAAAAAAAAAATCAATTTTGAAGGAGCAGAATCCTATTTTAACAAAGTCAACATGACATCATCTTTCTGACACCTGTGTACCACATTATATGATATATGATATGATATGATACATTATATTCCCCCCAGGCATCCTGAAGCTGGACCATTGGTCAGAGTCCTAGTGAGGGACTCCCATATCTTTAATGGGTCCCATGTCCTCAATGCAAATTCTCAAAGCATACACAGGGTTTGGTCCCTAACACTAACTCCCTAACAAATAGCACCCATTGCCCAGTAATTACTAAGTGTTATATATTATTTCCAGCAGAGCAGTGGAGGTAGCAGAGACTGGTAAAAGCCCCAGAAGGAAGGGTGGAAACCCCTGAGCAGGAGTGGCAGCAGCATCCTGGTGCCAAACACCAGCCAAAGTGGCAGCCTGGAAGTTTATTGCCCATGCAAAGGCAAAGTAGGAAAGCTTGGCAGTTCTGTGGTCAGACTTTCCCTAAGTATTGTTCTTTGTTGCCATCTCAAGCCTAAGGTAAATCTGTCACCAAGACATTTTAAAAGGAGTCAAAACAGGAACTGATTTATTTTCCTTTTTCAAGTGATACATTGTTCAGAAACACTGGCGTGCTGAGAAGCAGCGAAACTAAGAATTTGAATCTTCTGGGAGAAGACTCTGCTAAAAATGAAAGCTGCCTCCTTCATTCTGGGAAAGCAGCCTGCAGTACCTGGACAGGAAAAGCGGTGCTCACATCTCAGCTCTATGTGTCACAGTGAGCCTCTAAAATTTAGTAAATCCTTCCAAATGTACCACCCTTCCAACAGTGAATATTTTTATTATATTTTCCTTCTGAAGAGGAGCTCTATGATTTTTCTCAAGATCAGAATGTACTAATTCTCCCACCCCTTCCCTCTTCAATGTGTAAAGTAAGAGCTTTTATGCCATCAGCTTTGGAAATAAATTGTTGTGGCATTTTTGCTGATTTGTTTTCATGCTGCTTCAGAAACAGTACATCTTCTGTGAGCTGCCATAAATGACACAGGAACACCTGGCACCAGGTTTTACACAAATACTTCTAACAGTATCCCATGGCAGGTAGCGAGAGCTCATTTCATTGGGGTACCATCCATCACTAACCAGTAGCTTTGAATGGCTGGTTTAATATCAATATATTATCTATCACTTCAGTGTTGTTGAATCACTCTTTTTTCTGCTATAAATCAAATACTGCAGTTGTTACACACCAAGGCACAGTGATGAACTAATTGCGAGCATGCCAACCACAAGACATTTTTCTCTCCAATAAATATAGACACCCACATGGATCATTACCACAGCTGATACATCACTACCCAACTCTGCTGAGAAAATACAGCAAGAAGTTCAGTTCCTTTGTTCTCACCTATATATATATGTCACTGCATATGGGCTGTCCTTTGTGCTGGGACAACTGCAAATCCAAGAGGTAACTCAAGCAGCAAAGCTTTGATCAGGCTTCAGGTGAGGACTTTCAGCCACCAGGATAAAATGCATAAATAAAGTCCCCTTTCTGTCATAAATTTCCTGTTTCATTAAGCACCTCAGCTGTTCTCTACAGGACTTGGGGCACGTTACCTGTTGGAGGCGACACTTGAGTTCAGTGATTTCCACCTCCCAGGCCGCCTTGTGCAGGGCATACTGCTGCTGCAGCCCCTGGCGCTCCCGCTCCTCGTCCCGCAGCTCCGAGCGGAAGTCATCCAGCAAACCCTTCAGAGCGTTCAGGAGCTTCCGGTTTTCACTTGCCTGACACAACAAAGCAGACAAAATGCTGTCATTAGATGCTGGCTTTACTACCCAGTTTCATTTTTTAGGATGAAAAATAACTGTGTGTCCACTGCATGGAAGAGAAAGTGTGTAGGCTAACTTTTGCACAAGAAAACTAAGAATAGCGATGCCATCTCTGTCTACAGGCTGCTCAGGAAGTGGTTGAGTCACCATCCCTGGAGGTATTTAAAAGATGTGTGGATGCGACACTTTAGGATGTGGTTTGGTGGTGGAATTGGCAGTGTGATGTTTATGGTTGGACTCAATGATCTTGAAGGTCTTTTCCAACCTGAATGATTCTATGATTCTGCTTCTCATTAGCCCTAGTGCTGATGCTTCCTGAAAGCCAAAGATACTTAAGTTACTCTGAAAAAGGCACTGAGCATCTTTCTGGACTGAGGACATAATTAATAACTTTTTCTTTTTAATACTGTAAACCAAAGCTAGAGTATCATTCCTGAGGTTTGTTAGGTAGTTTCGTGTCTGTCTCACACTTACAGTCATTGTTCCGTATCAAATGCCAAATATTTGTAAACTACATAAAAAGAAAGGGGATAACTTTTCAATGCTTTTTGTATTCTCAGATAAAACTATTTTGAGAAATGCAGTGAGGCTTTGAGCTGAGTATCTCTGCTAAGATGTTTCAGTAGTCTGTACTTCATATTCCTGCTCCATGCCAGGCAGTTGCACCCAGGTTAGCTTTGCAGCAGCACCCTTCTTGGTACCAAAGGCTTGAAGGCCAGAGAGGCCACCTTCCCTCTTGCAGAGGGAATCAAATCCCCATTTGTGTCTTGTTGGGAGTGTCCTGGCCATGCTGAAAATGTTGTCAGAGCTCTTATGATAGCCAAAAGCCAAGAGTGGAGCTAAGTTAAAAGCCTAGCTCAAAGCTGACATCACATATTCTTACCCAAATCTTAATTTTTTCCCTTAGTTTTGGCATTTACCTTCTGCACATTCTCTGGACACTTGCAAAACCTGCCATTTTAATGTTAAATATATAAAAAAAAAATCCTAAATATTCATTCTGGATTAGTAAAAGAAAAGGTTTCCCACAATTTTTTTTTTTTTGCAGTCAATGAATCAGAAAACAGAAATACATTATTTTTTTAATCCAGAATTTAAATGAAATATTCCTAATAAGCCTCTCAAACACCAGGGAGAAACCAGAGATTGTATCTGATGAGTTATCCTGACTAGAAATATTTTTATGAAAATTATACTTGACTAGTAGACACAGCAAGGGGCAGAAAAATGGGAATGATTACTCAAAAAATTCACCATTTAACTACCTGGTTTTCATGAATGTGTTAACCCCATTTGGAAGGCCTAACTCAAATCAGTTTTCTCTATCCTTGCATGGTAGTCTAATTGAATTATTTTTATGTTTTTTTCCCAAGTGAAGGCTTCCTGCATTCCCTCTTATCTGGTACTTCATGAAGTAACTACATGGAGGCTTCTTTGAAGACAAGTCAAGTAAACATAAGTACACAAAAATCTAAATAATTGTCATGTCCTTTTTTCAATGGCAATACTTATTAAATTTTACGAGAAAACTAAGCTGACTTCATATGCTCACCAAATTTTTGGCATCACTGAACCCACCTCACTTATTTTTGTAATTGCTAGTTATACATGCCAAGATGCCTTTTTTCTTTAAAAATCAAACAAACGTAGTCGACTTTTTCCAAGTCATTTGATGCATCAGCAAAAATATGCTAGATGTAGGGAAATGACTGCAGGTGCTCATTGACTGACCTATCTGGTTGGGTTAATGAAAAGTGATGGTGTACAAGATGGGGTTTTGCAAGAAGTGCACCCACAGAAGCAGAATTAATTCCATTAACATTTAATGCCAATTAGCAGTTTCCTGCTCTCTAGCAGCAGTCTCCATCATGCATATAAGATCACCTACTATTCAATATGCAATGAGATTTTATGTTTCCACTATGCATTTTCATTCTATTACCTAATTAAGGCTAAATCCTCCAAACATTTCAAGCCCCTTGTGTAATAATCAGAATAAGAACTCCTTTGAAGTTTTGCCCTTAATGTCACAACAGAAGCTGCTGGGTATTGAACGCATCAAAATCTGGTCTCATCCTCTTTGAAAAACCCGACTCCAAATGTCTGTGAAGTGCTTTCATTCAAGAACCAAGTTCTGTGTTTTCTGGTGTGCTGTACAAACCTTTCTCTGGCAAAGCAGTCAAAAGGCTCCACAACAGAAATTAGACAGAAGAAAAATAAAACCAAATGACACCAAAGCAAGTTACATCTCTCATTCCCATGCATATATTTGATAATTTTAGAGTCCTATAAAATTTGGTTTGCAAAGAAAGAAGATATAGACTAGTACATAAAGGACAAAAGAACCTCATTGCAGGTTTTTTGCATTTGTAGCCTACTGTGTTGAGGGCATTTCTTATTTCTGAGGCATTACATCAATGTCATTGTTATGAGACAAGTACCCCAGGTGCCCCCTGGCTTGCTGGGTTTATAATTACTTTGCCAATATAAATCCAATTTTGGTTACATACTTTGTACTCCTGCAGAGAAGTCTCTTCTGCATGACTCTGTATTTATAGTCTGAAGCTGGAGAAGTCTGAAATTATTTTTTTTTTTTCTGTTTTGCCAAACTGGAGTAATTTTGGAGAACAAAGAAAGTATTTTTGAGAGAATGTGCTCTGAAATACAATGTTTACATCTAGTCATGCTTTAGATTTTGTTGGCAAAACAGCTTATCCAGAAGACTAAGTCTTGTAAATATACAACAAGTATTGTTATAGTCTTCCCCTTTCTTTCAGGCATGTTTCACAGCAGAAATTTGGCATGGCTGTGATTCTCTGGACAGTCTTCCATGCAAGGAGATGGTTCTTTAGCACTTAGCTGTTTCTAAAATTTAAAGCTTAGAGGAATCTCACTGATTCAAAAATGATCTAAGACAAGATAATTACAAAGGCTTTACAAAAATTTAAAGACTTGTATCTACAGCTCTGGATTTATAGAGAAAACAGCTGACAACAAACAAAACCTTTATGTAGCCTCCAATGTAGGACAATGGAGCATTTACTGAGTTGAGTCAACCACAGAAACAGGAGCATCCAGCTCTAGAAAAGTTTTGGAAAAGAGCAGTTTGCAGTTTGGTTCTTCTTACAATTCACTTTTCTCTGAGAATTTCCCTTGAGAATTTGACTGAAGACTTTAGCCACAGGCTGGTATTACAAGCAGTTTAGTAGAGCAGTAAATTAAAAACACAAGGTCAGGAGCCTAAACAGCAAACCAGAACCATGTATTTTTTCTGTCAAATTGCAGATCTAGGCAAAAGATAAACTGGATCTTGGTGCAACCCATTTCAGTATATTCAGGGCTTAATGACTATTCCTTTGGGCTTTTCTCTTAGGTAAGATTTGAAAACAAACATTATATGAGTGAAAAGAGATCTAATTCTTGACAACCCTCCCAGCAGCACCACTACTGCATTGCTTTTTAATGCTTTTTCCACTGGACCACAGATAAACTCTCTACTCCTTATTCCCTTATCTTATACCATCTAACAGGCATCTCACTTTATAGTAAACTGAAACAAAGCTTTTCCTTTATCCACAGGCTGTTCTCCTCTGCTGTGCCACCAGTCCAACTGGCTTGATTATCTCCTAAACACAAACTTCCAGCCTGGCTCTTAACCCTGCCTGACACGTTCTGCTGTGTGCCCCAGCTACCAGCCAAGGGAAAATGTAATGCAGGAAAAGATGAACTGACCCCTCTCAGACTCCCGATCTACTCTGCCTCTTATCAGCTTACCTTTTTTCTCCCCTTTCTGCTCTGCCTTGCCTATATCCCTCCACACAGTGTCCAAATAAAAATCCAAGACAAGCCAGACTGGTTTATTTATCAGCCAGTTGAGTATCTCAAATCATAGAAATGTAAAATTAAAAGTTGCATGTCGAAATTATGGCCTTTGGGTTTATTATTTTTCTCAAAACAATTCCACTTTCCAGACAGGGTAAGAAAGTCAGCAGCAGGAGTGCAGCCTGAAAACACAAGCCATTAAATATTACATGAAATGTTAAAAATAAATGTGGGTAACCTCAGGTTAACTTAAGGCCTTTCTTTTTTCTGACCTAGTTATCTCAGCCACTCCTAGACTAACTAAAAGTTTCATTCCTAGTGTGAAGTATGTGCTGATGCATTTCATCTTGGAACTTGTCAGGCAGATTTGGCTCTTCTGGTCAGATGCAAACCTTGGAGACTTCCAACTGTACCAATCATTCAAAATTCCCTGTATAAACAATGTTTTTTCCAGTTGTGGGCTTAAGGAACCTGCAGAAAACCCCTCAAAACTCAGTGTGTTTTTCAGCACAGCAGTGCTTGTGAGAAGATGCCTAGTGTGCACAAGCAGAAGAAATAATAGTGCTTAAAATGAGAAATATTTAGCAAACTTATTCATTCTTGCAGTGTCAAAATAACACTTTTTTTCTGGTTGGGGAACAAGGAATCTGTTTTATCACGACAAGTTCATTTGGGTATCATGCACTCTTTATCATCATGGGGAGTACCAAAACATGGTCAGTTCCTGCCACGTGGATCAATTCTTCAAGCAAGATTAGCTGGAACTGCTGTGATGTATATAAAAATGAATTATAATCAATGTACTGCCCACTTCTGCCACCTTAACTGAGATTAATGACTAAGCAATGATTATTTCAAAGAGTACATTATTCATTTGAATGTTCTTGGTTATTTTAAGAGCTCTGTATGGAAAGTTAGTACATGACGGAGTTTGTAAAGAAACAGCATTTTGGTATACATTTATTTTACTAATTCCAGAATAAATCAGTCTACAGATGGAATGCAGTCAGATGATGTGTTCAAAGGCATCTCTTGCATGGCCTTCTACAGCCTTTCACCAGTGAAGAGCTTGCTGAGAGGAAGACAGTGATGGGTGTGGGTGACCAGCAAGGTAGAACCTTTCTAAATGTCAAACTAATCAAATGAATACTAACTTGGTAGCACACTTCACAGAAAATAATAGTTAGAGATTATCCTTTTTATAGGATACAGAATTCCTGTTACCTGCTGCAACACTGTAGGCAGTTAGTAAACATGCTAATCACGAGAGTCTGGGGAATTCAAGGTGGAGAGCTCAGATGCAAAGAGACACAATCCCCAGGCCTGCAGTGACTCCAGCTAAGTATTATGATCATAGGGAGTACATATTTGCCTGAGAGCTGTCAGTGTGGAGCAGACTCCCGTGTCAAAGGCTTGGATAGAGAAGGGACATCAGGCATAAAGACTGAAGACTTTTTTTCCCTCTGAATTTGTTTTTCACATAGAATCCTTTCTCCATTCTATTTATGATTGCAAATAAATGCATGTAACAGGATGGTCTAATATGAATGGTTTTCATTTAAAAAATATAATAAATCTGTCTTCTTTTTTTATTTGTATTGTTAGGATAGTTAATATATTAAATCTACAAAGGAAAAAGCTAGGATATATGGCAGGGCTCTGACACACAGTCAGGGTACAGGAGATGCCAGAGAAAAGTTAGTATGATTTGATTTCAGGCTTTTAAAAACAAGCCCAGTGACAGGAAGGAACTTTTACATTGTTTTCCCATCATCTCTAAGGGAAACATTAAATACATGTGCTAGTTTCTTAAATTATTTCAAGGAAACAAAATCACATGTTCTTGCTAAAAGCTTGACAGAAGAGTACAATAGATGTGCTCAGACGAGAGGAGCCTGTAAATTCTGCAAACCATCACATCCTGATAGATGTTTCTGGGCAAACAGCCACAAGAAGAAATAGGATTTTTCACTGATAGCATCTGTCAACAGAAGAACAGTAATCACGTGGCTCATGATTAAATTTAAATATAAATATAATGGATGAAATCCACTGTAATTACTGTGTAGCTAGACGGATTTACACAAGTATGATTCTAGGTGATTTAACACAGCAGCACAGAACTCTCTCAGAAAATTCACAGTTTCCATTCTCAGGGCAAGATACATAATAAATGGAGTAGTACCTGCTTCTGCTGCTGCAGTAATTCTGCAGTCTGCAGCTGTGGTCCATGATCAGTGCTGTCCGGGGTGGGATGCTGGGAGAAATCCGTCAGTGCAAACACAACGTCTTCTTCCTCCTCCTCTCGCTCTGCATCATTTGCCTTCTGCTCAGATGGAATGCCAGAGTCTGGGAGGGTCTCGGGGTGCTCCATCTAGAATGAAAGAGGGAACACAGGAGCACGCTTTTGCCATTTACCTCCGGGGCCAGAAATCTACTGAAGGACTAAGGGAAGGGACTGCATCTCTGTGGTGGCATATACTGACTTCAACTCAGGCCACAGAACTGATCTTTGGGTGATACATCACCTACTGCATATGTGAACACATCACTATGCAGGCCTGCAACACAGGGAATTTATGCAACTGAGATGGGTCCAATGTCACATGATGGATATAATCTATCACACATTAATCAAGAACTGTACAAGACACCGGTGTATTGTGTGATGAAGTAATGGAGATTAGGAAGTATCCAAATCTATCATTTTATATTCTGCAAAGCATGTGCAAAACATGGCTCCAATAAAGCTGGGCGGGTAATAAATTAACCAGTCAAAAAATCCAAGCAGTCAAGAAATGAAAGATTTTTGGTATTAGAAGATGAGCTAATTTACACAGAAGCAAATTAACATAGCTGAAGTAAAGTAGAAGCAAATTATTTCTAAATAGCCACTCATCTCTTGTTTCTGACTCATATTACCACCACAGATGAATCAAAGATGTTCATCCACCCTTTATCTAAGAATGCAAACATTGGAGTATTCAGCTTCAGCACACTCTGACCAGACCTGAAAGGTTACTTGTACTGCCAAATGCAGTAAACTTTGAAAAACACTAGGTATAAAAGGACCAGAAATACTGAGAAAAATTACTTTGTTGCTTACCAGATGGCTTCAGAATTGCATGAACCTGCAAAAAAAATCTATTGTTCTCAAGAATTTAGTATAAAATGTCAGAATGGGAAAACATTTTAGTTTTTTTTTTTTTAGCTAAGAAGCAAATGGTAATTCTAGGTGTGCAGCTCAACACTTCCACAGTGCATGTTGGCTGGTAACCACACCCCGGCTGAGATGTGTCAGCTTGGGGATTCCAGGTTGTCATGTACTTCTGAAATTCCTGATCTTGATTTAGCCTCTACTTAGAAAAGCACCATGATGACGACTGGTGTATTGCTGCTGACGGCGGCAGACGTATGTATGGAGAAGGGCAACAAATGAGGATGATTCACTGTAAGTTCCCACATGAAGCTGTGTAATTCTCCTGCCAGCACAGAAACAGCTTCCCTCCATCTGTATTGCTGAAGGCTTTGTAAAGAACACACTGTGCACAGGATGAGAAAAACAACAGCACTCAATCCATCTAAACAGATTGGACTCCCTCACCTTTCTAATGTGTGTTTTTTTCTTTCAAAAAATTACTCAAGAGTCATATCTTTGAGACCTAATTAATTTTTCCTTTACTGTGTGAGAATATTTCAGGACCAGCTCTTTGTACTAGTTAAGGTTTTAGCTTTAAAGATGGGTGATCTGTAACACAACATGCAGAATCTACTTCAGCACAAGCCAACAGCAGCTTTTCAATGTTTAATTTGAATCCCCTTTCAATATATGTGCAATTTGAAAGCTGCTGGTGCCACATCATATTTCAAGTCTACACTTAAAGAAGGGACATCCCAGTATTCATCTGGGTTATTAAGGTAAGACAGTTACCTCTAATGTGTCCTCCCCTTCCTCCTCCATTCGCTTGCCTTGACGCCAGTGTTTCAGCAGCCACTTCAGTTTGACATACAGGAGAAAGGTGTCCTGCTTGAAACGCCTGAGTTCCTGCTGCAGCAGATTTTTCTCCTGACTCCAGGTCTTCTCCTCCAGTTTGTTCTGCAAAGTCAAGCTCTGCACTTCCAAGTCTTTTCTCCGCAGGGTCTGCATATGCTCCTCCTCCAGCTTTAATGGAATAACAGGCAACACGTCAACAGGGGGGTGTCCTGGGGCAGTCTCCAGGACTTGTACTTCACTGGGTGAGGCAAACTGAAATTTCTAATTTTCATCAGTAGTGAGCAGCTATTGAGTTTGGCTCAATAAATTCTTCAGCAGTTATGACTGCTGAGGAAATTAGAGGATAGCAGATGATAATTTTTTCTTAGATAACCATATGAAAGTAACCTGCTGTGGAAGTGGATATTTACTTCAAAGATGCACAAGACCTCTGAAACTGGTTAAGCATTTTACACCACTTGTATTTTCCTCCCTCTCTTGATTGTATCTCTGCAGTAGGTTCCCGGCAGAGCCACCAGCCCACACTGCTGTACATATCACACCTATTAAATGCATTTGCAGCCATTTGTACAAGGCGGGACCACAGCTGCCCTTCAGACAACCTGGAATATTTGCCTTGCCTCCCACAGGCACAGTTTCAATCTGCCCACAGTTGCTTTGTCTCCGTCTACCTCTGGAAGGGCAACACTTCTGAAGAAAACTCCTCCAGTACCTCAGATACCACTATTGATTCCTCACTCCTTGCAGTTCATACTTGAAGGCATCGGAATGATACCACAGTAAACAGTCTCTCATTCTGGCATGACTTTATCTGGGACACAAGCAGGAACTGAAGAGACAGGAACAGATTGCAACTCAGCATTTGAAATGTCTCAGCCTTAGTACTAAAATCACCAAGAAAAGTTCATTCTTTAGAGGACATGTACAACTACACCAGTTTCAATGCAAGGCCACCTGAAACACCATTCTTTAAATGTGACCTCTCCCTCAATATATAAAAAAATCAAACCATGGCATGACCTACTCCCAACAGAACTTGTACAAGTTAGTTGTGCAATATCTCATATTGTTCATAGGGGAGAAAGTATTTCCACTTCAACCAAGCTGTGGCTTCTTCATAGATGAAGAAAATGCAGATGGAAAATCAGTAGAGTAATTGATAACAGGTGACAGTTCCTATTTTCCATTCTGCAGAACAACAGCCTCTCCTTTTCCTGACCAGCTCCACAGATAAAATCTATGAAAGCCACAGTACACTTATGACCACAACAATCCAAACCATTGGAACACACCCTGCAACAAGCAATGCTCACATAAGAATAAAGAATGTTTCAGGGATTAGGACTCCCTAGCAATAAATACTGCTAAGAAATATATGTTTGATTTTCATGGCAACATTCACATGCTTCTGAAATAGGCTACCAGTCCATATGAGATAGTTTCCTAAGGACTTGCCTGCCATCTAAATGATGTGCTCCAGCATAATGCATATTTTCAGCATCTATGCTACTATGCCTTAAAAAGTTCCTGATTAAATTGAAGTTATTTACAGTAGTGGCTAGCTTAAATGTGTTTAAAATGAAGCTTAAATGCAGTCTGGAACAAAATTAGCTATAATGGCTCCAAGAAACATACACACAACTCCTAATAACACTCATGGAGATAGTACACTGCTAGCACACATCAATTTGATGTCATTAAACATTCCTAAAAATGAAAAAGTAAAAGAAGGGTTGATTTTAAATTTAGTTTTTATGGGAAGAAAGAAGTAGATTTGATGTTGATGACCATTCTCCCATCAAATAAAGTTATAGTTAAATACAGCAAGAATCTGAGTAATTTCCACCAGAAATCCTAGAAGATGATAAAAAAAGGAACATTATCAACAGAACGCGCATAGTCTGGAAAAAAATGAAGAACCCAGAAGATGCTTTTATTCTTCTATTTCTGCTGGCTATCAACATGAACAGCTAGCTTTGATTTTGGTGTATTTTTCATCATTTTGACAAGCTGTTGTATTTCAAATCCCTGTGGTCATGAATTCTTGCAGAAGACCCTAGTGGAGGTAGATTTGTAGAGTGTTATTATTTTTCAGTGGATAGCAATTGCAAAAGAAAAGAACTTTAAGAGACAGGCATAGCTTCCAAAAAGCTTTCACAGCTGAGGCAACTAGGAAGGAAATCAATTGACTGGTTGCCTTCAAAAGCTCCAGTGGAAAACTCCTGTGGAGATCAACTGGAAATTAAAGCTAGTTATGAGAGATACCACTTGGGCACAAGAAAAAAATCTTTACAGTATGCAACAATTATGCAGAATTTAGTCCATGAAGTAAATTTAAAAAGAAAACTTTAGTTAAGAGCCAAACAGCCTGCAGAAATTAGCAACAGAATTTTTTTGCTCTAGGAGCTAGAGATCACAAAACAATTGACTAATCTGTTCCAGCCTTCAAAAGAGCAGGGGGAGCTCATGTAAAAAAAATATTTATTCACCAGCTATTAATAAGAAGACTGGAAGCACTGAGTACTGAGAAATACAAGAATGAATGTCCTGATTTGTTTCTCAGCTATGTGTGCATAGCAACTCCTCTGACTTCAGAGAGGTGCTGGATTTTCTTTTGGCTAGGAGGAATCAGAATAAGGCATGGAGCCGAACTGAGCTCCCAGGGATCAAACACACACTTCCCCAGGTCACAGAGAGCTGAAGGGTGACAGGATTCTCTATACAGTATTTCATGACTCTACCACGATTTCCCGTGGAGAGGGAAGGACAAAATTTCTCTCCACCAAGCAGGGAAGCCAGATTCGCAGTGGCAAAACGAGCTTGAGTTTAGATTTCCCTGGATTCCAGATTCTTCATTTACTCAGATGAGGTCACACAGGCACAGCCATCAGGACACAAGTTCCCACAGTTGTGACAAACAAGGCTCACGTCACACATCATGGTCATGCATCTCTCCCAGGTGGGTTTTGTATTTACCTGGATGATCCTTTCTGTAAACTTCTCTTGCTCCTCTCGGTGAACTCTTGTCTCCTGCTCAAGCTGAGCCTGAAGCTCCTGTATCGATACATTCTGTACAGGTAAAACATGGGAATCCCTGAGCTGATCAGCAGGACAAAGGGAAAGGTTTAGCAGAAAATGTGTCTCGGAGGTGTAAAAAAAAGGAAAAAGAGCCGCAGGACAGACATCTGCACAACTCAAGATTATCAATAGTTAAAACCGAAGCACAGTGTGCAAATAAATAACAATGTCCTAAATCTGTGTGGGAATTTCCTGTGTGGCTTCTTCTGGAAACTAAAGCTGGAATGTTGGTGTTACATATTAGATATTCTCTTCAGGCCTCTGCTCTGGGCTTGGACTTGAAGAGCTGAGATTCTGTTTGCAGGATTACATATTTGGTGGTGCATTTCTTCATCATAATCAAAGCTGTAAAATTTTAACACCTCTGCATAAGATGAATCTAGTGCATGCATATTGAACCTAATTATTCATTTGCAACAGTTTTGATAGGGCAGTTAATAGGATAGCATTTATTAAACCAAGTATATATAAGATCCCTTTCTTCAGATACAAGACAGTTCTTTGCACAAGTCAACTTCATTCTGTGATTTCTACACAAAATAATTACAAAAAAAAGCCACAGTGATAAGCTGTGTGAGCCTGAGATCTGACCAAAATAATTAAGTATCCTCCCTTTCAGGCCCAATACTGTTTTAATCTTAATACCTTCAATTTGATATTCTCATTAGGTTTGGCATCCCATCAACTTTACTCCTGAAAGTTACTTAACTCAAAAATAAAGACCCAAGAAGGCAGAGTCAGATCTCACTGTTGATATTATAGTAATTAATCCTGTGGCACTTATATTTCTGATCAGAATTTTCAGTGCCCTTCACTTTGTGTCTCTCACATTGGTGCCAAAACTGATTTATCTGTACAAAAGTGATGCTCGGCTGGATGCCATCCTCTTCACGTGTGTGACCACAGAAAGCACTACAGCACCAAACTCCTACTTCCCACTGCAAAAATGTACTTAAAGACACAATTGCTTCAGGCTTCGAAGTGTAATCCCAAATTCTCAGCTGGCCCACGTCGTGCGTGCTCCAACCTCAGCAGCTGCAAGGACATAACAAAGGTCATGGGATTCTCTCTAGGGCTGTGTTGCCATTTCCCTGGTGGCATCAGCCCCGGCATCCACCTTCTCTCCACTCCTCCCAGTTTCCAGAGCAAAGCCAGCAGCTGCTGCTGTTCAGGCCACACAGCCCTTGTTGGAACATTTTGGTTATTCAAAATGTAGTTCTCCCTGGAAAAGACATTCCTCACCCCTCTTCTAGGGAAAAAATGAGATAAGGCAAATGGTAGTATTCCAAAAACAACCTGCAGGACCACACTGCTGAAAATCAAAAGTGGACCTACATAGACTTTCTGGGCCCTACAGTGCCTTTTTTACTTGAGTCATTTATTGACTTGTGCATGTCTATTTTGTACCTGAGGAAAAGACACTTCCATCCCTCTGAAAGATAAAGTGACTAAGAGAACATTACCTGCCTTATCAAATTCATCTGTCTCTGTAATGTGTCTGCAGACATTTTGTAGTGAATAAGGTCAAAATTTGGATTTGAAAAGAATTGCTTGTGATGAAATTTGTCAGTTTTGCATAATAATTTGTAAATTCTTAATTTAATTCTCTCATGCAATAAAGGAAAAAATACTTTCATCAGGAATTTCTGCAATATTTTATTCTGATCAAGCTTCTTTAGGAATATGGCAAACAAAAACCAATGTATCAGTTCATTAATGCATAATTTTTAAAAAATCTGTTCATCCCCTTATGGATTCAAAATTATTAACCCATCCAATTTTTTTATAAATATGTAGCCCATGCAAAGTCAAATTTCAGGAAACTTCACTGCTAGGATTATGTGGGATCTGTTGGAATTTCTAAAAAGAAATTAAATATATCATAATGGCAGATGCAGTATAACATGCACACTAAGTCAAAATCACATCACAACTGCTTTGCCTCTTCAAGGACAATACATTTTTGTAATTCCTAAAGTAAATTTAATTTGAAAAGCAGCTAGTGCATAAATGCAGAGTTGCACACTTTATTCCCTTCCAATGCAACCTGAGAACTCTTCATAGTCTATAATAATATATAATATAATTTCTACCAGAACTGTTGGGATATCTCAACTGCTCAAATCAGGGGAGGTAAGGCTGCTTAAGTGCGCAATAGATTGCTGCTAAACAATCTATTAGGATCATGAATGAATAATACTTAAAAATGTATCATGTAATATTTGTGTATGCAGTTCAAGCACTTGATACTGCACTGATAGATGTCTGAATGTTTATATGTGGAAATCAGTCCTCTATCATAAAACCAGCAGGCTGTAGTCTGTGGCACAATTGTGGTTATGTTTTGTTTTGAAAAGGAACATTACTACAAAATGGTCACAACAGTTGAAAACTTGTTATATTCCATTGTTTGCTTCCTTTGTTCTCATTAAGGAGTGCACTACATGAGGAACAGAAGACATCCTGAATACGACGGCACTGCACAACATGCTGACATCACAGAGCAGACACAAACTCTCTACAACAAGACGTACAAACACAGTACCATGGGAACTATGAGCAAGTGCTACTCTACCACAGCACCACGGAAACAGCTGCACTTCATCCACAGCTCAACACCGACTAACAGCTTCCCATGTATCCCAGTTATTGCATTACCAGACACACTTCCACTCCTGTCCCCTCAGACAGGCACTGCCAAATCCTTCTGCTCAGTCCTTTTATCTCACCTGTTATCACTCCAGAACAAGCTAATCCATGCTGATGCCTTTACCTCAAGAAGATGCACAGAGAAAAGTCATCCTGGGGACTTCACCACCACTCTCACAGTACCGACCCCTTTCCCCCCCTCTCAGAGTGCTGACCGCTTTTTAGGTTACTTTGCAGCTCGCACAATCCCACATATCTGCCATGACTTGTTTTTACAAGATTGCCATCCAAGACAAGCTATGGCTGGGTTTTATTTGTCTGCTTTCTCCATTTTACCGGAGCTAATTGCAACCTCAATTCGCCTGCAAACTTAATCAATTTATATGTAACAACCGTGAACATGAAATTTCATGGAATCTTTCTCTTAAGCTTCTTTTTTTTTCCCCCAGAAACGATCAAACAAAATAAGGCCTGAGGAGGCAGGGTAGAATGATGCTTTCCAGCATTAGCATGCAATTCAAAGCAAGCCAAAAGATAAATGCTTTATGCTGCTCCTCTAAAGCTACATTATCATGCTTTGATATTTGGACCTTACATTTGAACACATAGTTTAAAAATTGCTACTTTTTCACAGATTGACAGCTGGCCATTGCATGTGTCAGAAAGAAAGTTCCAGTGCCTTTTGTTATACTTTTTACGTGCAATTCACATCTAACTGAACTCGCAGAGGCTGTTTCTAAAGATGTACTCTTCTTCTCATTCCTTAAAAAAATAGATGACATATATTTCATTTGCTTGTGTAGAATAGGCAGCTGTGTGGTTATTTGTCTGTGCTTATATGAAAAGTCTCTGAGTTTGGGAAAACACAGAACACTTCACTCCAAGTCTTTAAAAATCCATCTCATTGAATAGATAGTATACAAAGTCTCACCAAGTTCAGTTGGGACTCAAATATCCAGATTTGCATCATAAAGGGTCTTTTAAGCCATTACACTGTCAACCTCTACAGAATCTTACATAGCAAGAAAGAATACAATACATCAAAGTAAATTATTCTTGCATCCCCTAATCCTGGTGGGAAGGAATAATCACAGCATCAGTTTATCTTTCTTCTTCCCACAGCTTTGCACTGGAGGAATATTGGACATAAGACATACAACTTTGTATGTGGTTCTTGGTTGTTGTTGTTGGGTTTTTTTTTTTGTTTTTTTTTTTTTGCCAGAAGAAAAAAAAGCCACAATGTGTAAACCGTTCACTGTTGCCTTTCTGGAAAACAAAACATTTAACCAGAGAAATGCATGTGCAAATGTTCAACACATGGCTGGGAGCTGCTGCAAAAACCATCCAGCTGAAAAACACTCAAATGGAGTTATGAAAATTGCACAGAAACAGCACCAGTTAAGAAACAGAACTGTCAAAATATAGATCAAAATCTCCTCATCCATCTCCTCCAAAATTCATACATACAGAAGTTTTTATTCAAAGCAGGTGGTAAATTGACTTACCTAATTTGCACATCACTGTATTTGGTTGGTCCACAGTTAACCCAGTAATCAACTTAAGAGTTATACATTACTTATTGGCATGATAAGTAAGGAAAGTGAATAAACATACTAAAAGTGGCTTAGAAGAAATTATTATATGTTATTCCTATTTTATTACTAGACCTCGTGGAAAACTTGTTGTTTAAGACATGCTCTCACCTTCTCCAGCCTATCTGCCTTTATTTTAAATCTCTGGTCACAATTCACTCCTTTTACATGATTTCCCTTCAGTGGTTCTTTTTCCATAACCTATGAGTGTCAGAGATTTTATGGTATTTTTCTACACAGAACTAAATGTGTAAGTCTTTAAAAGCCATGTATAAAAATAATCAAAATCTGAAA